CTCTGGTTTTTGTTGGCACATTGCCTTTAGTTGTTGCATTTGAGGCTGTTTTAGTTTCACAGAGCCAGTCTAGTAACTTTCTAACTATATAGGAGTGAGCCATTAAGCCTGGTCCAAAGAACCTTGTATAATATACCTTAATATAACTATTGAATTAATGATGGGGTTTTTTTAAGAATCCAGAACTGTAGGAAATTGTACCAGTGCAGAAGCAATAAGACATACATAATTTTAGTCCAGTAAAAATTACTTACAGTGCAGTAGTTTATCCATTGTGTTCTGGAAATAAGCAATATTATAATACTGAAAAATATGCTACCTTGCTGTAAATGCACTTGTGCTACAGGTTAAGTCCTTGAGCAGTATTCATTTGTAACTTTGGCTAATCTCGTGTATGAAAGAATCCATTTGTGAGCCATTGCACTACTTCCAGAAGGATTTCTCATAACATTACCTGCTACTCATGCTTATTTGCATTACTTAATACATCTCCTCAAGTGTATTCTCTATCACTAGGGCAATTTCAATGCAATGCTATGTTAACTCTTTTTATCTACTCTAGAACATATTACTAAGTAAGTGTTTTTTATAAAAACATATTAAGAAGTAAATGTTTCTACCATCTTCTTTATAACTGGATCTTTTACTACATGCTCTAGTCCCTTCCACCCTCTAACGCCCTTGGAAGCTGTTTTTACGTTTTAGTGTTTGAAAAGAGATAAAATCACATAAGCACTAAGGAAGTAATTTTTGATTTATCTAAAATTCTGTAGAGATGTGACAAATCATGTTAAAATTTTCTTTTCTTATTTAGTTGGTTTTCATGACTTGACAAGTGCAATAGTAATAATCTTCTAGTCCTTCAGATCTACAGAATCTCACAGAGAAAAGAGACAGACCTGGGTTTCCTACATCAAAAGCAGACAGCAATATTTCTCACTTGATCTTTACTTAAATAGGAACTTTTTAGAACTTGTTTATGCATTCCAAAGTAAAAGTGTGCAAACCTATTATCTTCGCAAGTTGTATTTAATAAGTAATATCTGTCATGAGATTAAACAGTTTCTGGGTTTTAGAAGCTTGTGGGGGGCTTTTAACTCTAAAATACACATATTTCTGCTTCAGCATATATTCCTTGCCTGGCTTGGCAAAAAGATTTGCAATGCACTGCAATTCATACAGTTTTTGGAAGACAAAGACTGTGATGGGAGTTGACACACAACTCACATGAAATACATGGATCAAGGGAGGTGTTTATTCCCCCCTACTCACCACATATGGAATATTGCCTCTGATTGTGAAGCCCCTGCACAGGAAAGGTGTTGATGAGCTTGAGTGAGCTCAGCATAGGGCTATGAAGATGTAACTTAGTGAGGGAGGCTGAGTGAGCTGGGCTTGTGCTCCTCACCAGGCTGGCACAGCAATAAAGAGGTAAAATAGGTGTTCTCATAAGATAGGGTAAAAACCAGAAATATATATAGTGGGGAAATCTTAGGTCCCTTCCAATGCTGGGAGCTCTGCTGTTGTGCAGCACTGGACAGACATCTAGTGGATCTTCCCCAACACGTTTCACAGATGCCGTCTGTGCAGGGGTTCCTCCTTCCTTCCACGATGTGCAGCCTTTTATTTTGTGGGGCAAACAATCACGTTTTTTCTCCTGACAGTCTGGGATGCCATCTGAGTCATAATATTGCCCAGCACCAGCACAGGCTTTAAGTACAAAGCTCAGTAGAGCAGACGTATCTTGTTCAAGATCACTAACTCCTTGAATACAGTATTTTCCACAGTGCTCCCAATATGGGTTGTTCATCCTGGAGGAGAGATGGCTTCAGAGGTCCTAACATTGCCCTCCTATACCTATGAGGATGCTGGCAAGATGCAGGCTTTTACTGAGGTTATGGCAGAAGAATGAGAGGACATGTTCAGAATCGGGGGAGGGTCTAGTGGCACATAAGGAAAGCTCTTTCACAGTGAAAATAAGCATTTGCAAACAATTACCCAGGGAGGCCTGGGGATTCTAAGCTCTTGGAGGTTTTCAAGACCTGACTGGACAAACCCTTGGTAAAGTGGTCTGAATTCAGTGTTGCCACTGTCTTGAGCAGCTGTGTGATTCTGAAGTTCTGAGAAGATGCCTAATTTTGAGACTTAATCTGTGAGCTGAATCTCTTCCTTCTAGCTAACTGACAAACATTAGATGAGAGCCCACACTGAGAAGTTCAGCAGAAGTTAATTAAAATGTGCCTTCCCACACTACTGAAAGCAAATAATTTAGGAATAGAATTTAACTTGGACAGATGCAGTTTGGAATGAAGCAAAGCTGGACAATGGGAGAAGAACACTACTGGAGTGAAAGAACTGCTAAGACTACTTAAACATTTTTACCTGTTATCTTAATTTTCTTTTCTCAGTGAGCTATATTCCCAGAGTGGATCAAATCTCAATATAACACTATCCTGACTATCTGCTAGCATGCATGAAAAAGATTGAAAGGACACAATTCCAAAATTATGAAGCCATTAATATACACTGAACTGATTATATACAAGATAGAGTCTTACACCACTAGGACAATTTGTACAATCAGGTCCACCACCCTTTTTATAAACATGGCAAGGGCTACTTGTTTCTCAATGTGCTTGCCCTTTAACCTGTGTCCACATGCTGAATCTGACACCAGGACTGCTGCCCAGACACTGTGTGCTCTGTATGTGTGTAGGCCTAGGAAGAGTTACATGTTCCCATGGATCTTGTTGAATGATTCTAGGTGATAAAACACCTTTGCCTGAAATATATGTCTACTCATACATTATGCATTGTGAAAAATTGTATGAATGTATGCTTCTGGTATAACATTCTGGTTAGTCTTCCAATAGTATCTCAGAATTGACTTGTGTTGCATATTCTGGTCTTCTTGCATATAATTGCTTAATTATCTTTCAGATCATGAAATGTAAATTTATGTTTATTTTCCATGCCTGACCCTGGGCTTACTTTTCTGTTCGTGTATTCCTGTTTCAACCCACTTAGACCTAGCTCTGCATAGATGTACGTATTGGTCTGTATCCTGCTAGAAGAATAAAGATCCCACCTGGCTTTTCATTATCTCATGGAGTCTGGATGGCCAAGGTAAATGATTCTGGAGTACATGCCTGAAACTCGGTCTCCATCAGAAGGCAGAACCTGAGATCAGCTCACCTACTCCACAGCGCAGTGTTTGCTGTCAGCAGAATTGCCAGGGGTTCATGACTTGTGACCAGTTCAATTGCTCTTCTGCAAGTTTCTGGGTGAAGGGAGAATGAGGGTTAAGGCAAACCCATTTGTTCCTTTATGATCTTGCTATGCCTGTTTCCCACTAAAAGAGAGGGGTTCCAAACTGAGGGGGGAAACTAAAAGGAAACAACCTCAGGAATCCAAGTTTACTACAAATAGGCTTTAATTTAGGAAAAAATTATCAGGTATATTAGATTAAGTGATTGTGATTCATACTCTTTGCAACAGTCTTAGAAAAACGCCGTTGTAGACTCAGGCAGCTTCAGCAGTGTTTAGCCAAATATGGATTACAGCTACTTATAGCTGCTGGTGGTGGAAAAGTTTCCTGAGATTGTTCAGCTTGTCTATTATCTGCTCTCATAGTCTTACCCTTGCATGAGCTGTTAACATGCATCCCACAGTGCGATGTAAGGGGGAAAGAGGGAGAGAAAAAAGATCACATTGTTTTTGTAAACTGTTCTAGTCTACCTCACCATCCTGTTTATGAATTTTGCCCTTCACCTGTCTGTTGATACATGAAAACCTTTAGTGGCAAAGAGGTAGTAGTCTGTCTGTGAGCTTCCTGAGCTGGTCTTATAATGTAGTCATGATCACAGTGATCTATCAGTTTAGGTGCAGTATTATATACTCTTTATGAGCATGGATATTACTTTCAACCTTACTGGTTTCCTCTTCAGAAAGACTTCAAATTACTAGTGTCCTGACTGTAACCAGAAAGATATGAGTACCCTAGCTTCAAATAAGATTGAATACAAATATCTGTTTTCATATTAAATGAATTCATTTTATTAAATCTCTCTTTTGTGATTAAGAGGGCAAGGCTGAGGGAGAAAAGAATGAAATGAATTCAAAATTGCTATTCTTATCTGTGACTAACAATATGCAAGTCATACTGGAAGGTTGAAGAACAATGAATTTCCTGTGGTCATGATATAAGTTGCGCCACAAAAATAAAAAGGTTTGGGTACTGAGAAATGACCTCCCAGCTTTTAGCACTACAGTAGAATAAAGACGTTTGGAAATTGTTTCATCATAGAGACCTTTTCCTCAGTTGGATTTCCCACTGAATTTTCACTTATTTTTCTGTTAATTCTCAGTAGACTCAGAGTCCCAATAAAAGTAATTTATTTCATGTGTTATTTTTCATTTTTCTGAGAAAAAACCTTTAAGTCTTGACCCCATCTTGAAATAAAAAGATTATTTTTAGGGCAGTTCAAATAGTTTTCTTTTCATTTTAGAATCAGGTGACTCCAAAAAGAGAAGGAAAAAAAGGGGCTATGGAAAAAGGCATTTATTTGTCTGTGTTGCCTTTAGGGTGTGGTTGTGCCCCAGGAGCCTGGAGAGTTGCAGTTACGATGCGCCTGAGCTCAGGGACCCAACTTTTTTCTACTTATAAGCATTCCTCCCAGTTCAGCTGAAGAATGCTCCTCTGGTTTGCGTAGAAAAATTCTTGCAAGAGGTCTCCTGAGGAAGGTCATTTGAGGATGACTTTGGCCACAGCTGTTTACAAGTTAGGGTTTTGACCGAAGTGAGTAATTGAATCATGTTGAGCCTCTGAAGTTTGCCTTTTATTTATATATTTCCCCCAATTGTGTGGCTCGGTCTGCCATTGGCTGCGGTCCCTGCAGCCTACCCGAGGGCTCTGCAATTACATAAGGCTCTGTCTGCTGGGAGCCTATATAAAGCCTTTGTGCACGCCAGCAAGACAGAATTTCATCAAGATTCAGGTCCCACTGCTTTAGTTTGCACAAGCAGGAGGAGTTTTGCTTGAAGATATACTGAAACTCGAACGCCAGCCCAGCCTGGTTTGTTTGCCAGCAGGTGCTTCACAGCTGTCAACCTGAGTCGTAAGTGGCAGCTACTGTAAGTAGCTTCTGTGCACTATGAAGAATTTTTCATTTCCTATGCAGGATAACACATATCAGACCGAGAGTCCTTCTCACAGATTCCCGAGTCTGACAAATCAGTCAGATCCTGTTGGAAGACCAGAAAGAGATGAACAATTAGCTCAAGTAGAGATTGCTGTACTGGGGATCATATTTCTGACAGCATCTGTGGGCAATTTTATTCTCATACTGGTGCTGTGGCGAAGAAGAAAGAAGCTCTCTAGGATGTATGTGTTCATGCTTCACCTCAGCATTGCTGATTTAGTGGTAGCCTTTTTTCAAGTTCTGCCTCAACTCATATGGGATATTACAGATGTTTTCATAGGGCCAGATTTCTTGTGCAGAATTATCAAGTACCTACAATTGCTGGGCATGTTTGCCTCTACTTATATGATAGTGGTCATGACAGTGGACAGATATCAAGCAGTTTGCTACCCTATGGTCACATTCCAAAAGAAGAGAGCTCTCTGGAACATCCCTATTTTCACCAGCTGGTTTATAGCACTGATTCTTAGCCTACCACAGGTATTTATCTTTTCTAAGACTGAAATATCTCCAGGTATCTTTGAATGTTGGGGTGAATTTATTCAACCATGGGGCCCAAGGGCATATGTGACTTGGATTTTTGTAGTTATATTCTTCATTCCCTCAGCCATTCTTATCACATGCCAGGTTAAGATTTGCAAAATAATCAGAAGAAATATATGTGTGAAAAAACAGAATGAATGTGAAGCAACAAATCAGAAGCAAGTCCTGCCATCCCGAGCGAGCAGTGTGAACTGTATTTCAAAGGCTATGATCAAGACAGTAAAAATGACAGTGGTGACAGTTGTTGCATATGTGCTCTGTTGGTCACCTTTCTTCATTGCACAGCTGTGGTCTGTGTGGTTCCCCAGTGTCGTGACTGAAGGTAAGATACTCTCCATCCTCATTACTGACTGCATAGCAGGCTAGCACATTGCCATCAATTGCTTTATGTTTGCACTTTGCTTTTGTGTAAAAGTTACTGTGATCATTTGAGTAGGATTAAAAAGAAATTTCTGGACTGGTTATCTCATTTATTTAATCAGGTACAGGGAACTTCATGTGTTATGTGATGAAAACTCCATGTGCGTGTTTTGTGTGATTAACAGTTTAAAGATTAATGAAGAGTGGGATGAAAAGTATCATGTGCTCCAGCAAAGGTTCAGACTTTTAGAGGTTTTAGGTAGTATAGCAACAGTATTTGGGTTGTATTTAGTATTTATTTTTGAGATGAAAAGGAGTAATTGACTATCCAAAGGAATGAGATAAATATTTCTTATTTACTGGATAGAAGAGAGATGTTATAAGACATCTGATTTTTTTTAATATTGAAATCATATTGATGAAATCTCTGTAGTATCCACTGTAGCATTGGAAGTTGTAAATCAGATAAAGCTAATAAAGCTAAACAGCAAGCCTGAGAGGGTTATCAAAGAACACCAGGTTGTAAACAAGATTAATCTTGTCAAACTTATGCTATTGCCTCTTTGTGAAAGGCAGACTCTATAAATTCACCTATTCTAAACTCAGAGATAAAAAACAAAAGAAAAAGAAGATAATAGCTTTGTCTGATAAAAAAATCTTCTGATCTTTGTTTTAAGAATTATTCCTGTCTGTGTGACTTGGAGTCTTATTCTACATACATTTATATATATCTATATCTGTATTTATCTGTATTTGTATAAAAGGTTAGTAATTGCTTTTAAATTTAATGCAGCTACATCAAAAAAGAACTACATGGAACTATTTAATTCTGAAATGCACGCAATAAAGTGTGCTTCATATCTTCAGCAATTGCAAACTGCATTAAAATGTGAATTTTCTACTATTAGATTAACTTTAATATATGAATAAGTACAGCAGAAAGCAACAGACTGTGAAAATGGTACTTACTTGTACAAGTGTTTATTTACTCTCCTATTCCTTTAACTCTTTCATTCTAGGTTCAGCATTCACCATTATCATGCTCCTTGGCAATTTAAATAGTTGCACCAACCCATGGATTTACATGTATTTCTGTGGCCACATTCCATATTGCACAAATAAGCAAGTGGAGAATACCTCAGCTCAAGAGGAATCGGTGATTACAGGGAGCATTCACCTTGTAGACAGAGACCCTGAGGAAAACAGTACTTCTACATAAATACTGAATGCTTTTTGATGTTTTGTTACATTCCCTCTATTTGTAAGACACATACATATTTTATGATCATCCCTTTTTTGTGGATAAGAAAGCTGGAAAATTGTCTTTTGTTGCACAAATATATATTTCTCTGCAGTTCTATAGCATATACAGGAAGTTTCTGTGTTGTGCAAGCCAGACTCAGTGCTTCCATCACCACTGTCTTATCAGAATGGATTTTTGTTAAAAAAAAAAAAAAAGCATCTTAGATGGTTTGTGTCCAAAAGTACTTTCTGGTCTGTGATTCTGGATTTCTAAGTAGTAACATTTTGCAACTAACTGATCCAACAAATTGAGACATAATTGTAAAGGAACCTGACATGACTAAACTTGAATATGTTTTCAAATTGAACAACGAATTGTTCATCATTGTGGTCTGATTGGGGAACAGTCTGACAAATCTTAAAAGGGCAGCACAGTCAGAAAAATCTTTTGCCAGCTATTAATAGTAACTAGTTAAATCAATTCCTTATATACAATTATAAAATGCCAAGCTGCTTAATATAATTAAAAAAAAAAATTTGTTGTGCTTGTTACACAACACCTACTTCAGTTTCAAATTCCATTGTGGATGGCAGGTATCAGCAGTATAGCAGTGGCCCAGGTTTTTGACTTTACTCCATAGGATTTTGTCTTCCATGCATTCCCTGATGTGCAAGCAGTTAACTGGACACCTCCCTACACCCCGTACCCGTGTATATACATACTTTAACTAAAAATGGGTGTTAGGAGTGTACACTTTCATTTGGTATTCAGACCTATTTGTTCTGGCATGCAATTTATTGGCTGAGTGTGCTTAGAACACCTTCAGGCTCAAATTTAATTATTTCCCTTCATGGTAAAAATAGATCTACATATTTTTATCTCAAAATGCTGTTTGGTTGCTGGTTTGTGGGTGTTATATATGGGTAGCTAGTTATTGCCTTTCAGTGTCTGCAATCTAATCAGAGGAGGATGGAAGGAATATTAGCAAGGCTCTTTCTGGTGAGAATTGAGCTGCATTCCCAGAGATCTTTGGTGACACTTGCATGTCATCTGTCTACATTATACTGTGTTTCAGCAGTGCTATTCGCATGTCATTTTTCTGAGTGCTAGCAGTCTCAAATATCAGTGGAAAAGCTATAAAATTGGGGGGGTTTAATTGTCTTTAAATCATATTCAAATACTGATTTAAACTAAATACTGATCAGATTATCAGAAGTCCTGCTGTACAGTTACACTTCAGGTTAATCTGTGCTGATATGACTGAATATTTTATGATTTCTATTCCCTGTATTGTTAGACCAAATACTGCTGTCCAGCTGGCAAGAGGAATGGATTTCGGGCAAGTAGGAAGAGAAGGAGGTGGATGAAGGCAGTACCAGAGCCAGACAGGAATGGGAAGAGTCTATGAAGTCTCTTATAAAAATTGCAACTGATATTTTTTCTTATGTTTTCCCCCTCTCTTTAATTAATAGTTATTAATTCTACCTCACAACAAATTCCTTGTTGGAGCAATTCTCTAACTCAAGTGGCAGTGTTGTTATCTGGGGTAAGAACATCCAAGTTATAATCCATACTACTGATAGGGTATTTGTAATATTCAACCATTCACTGACTTTCTAAGACTTTCAATCAATTAGCTCTCAGTTAGGTTTTCCCTTGTGACTGAATATGATGGTTAATGGTGGGATTTTTAGTTTTTCCACTTCTGTTGATTGCAATTAGTTACATAGTATAACATGCAGTGTTGAAAGGTGGTGTAAACAGAAATGTTGCAAGGAATTACCTGTCACTGTACAACTGTATTTGCAGCAAAACTCCTCCAAAGGCGTTAATTTGCAAGAAAAAGAGGCATTCAAATAACGTGCGAAGAGTCATCCAGATCCAGAACTGACAGAAGTCACAATTCTGCTCAGACACTGCAGTGAAGCTGTGCCATTTGACACCACCTGCTCTGGCCTCCAATTAAAGTTAAAAAGTGTAACTTCTACTTATATTTCTGCATTGCTCATATATTTGTTACTGGCTTTATAAATAATTTGGTAGAACTGGTAGCTTAAATAACAGTAGCATAATCTGTTCTTTAAAAGTCTGAGAGCAATATTAACTGACCATATTTCAGATATTTTGGTCATGTGTTGAATGAAATGTCAAAACTTCTAAAATTCAGTAATGGTTGTTTATTGTTTGCAATGTTCAAACCAATTATATTTTTGTCTTTTAAGTGCTTTCTTTCTGATTTTTTTCATTTTCTTTCCCCTGAGATCAGTTCTGCTGTTAAGGAGAAAAATAAATGTTACTGTATTATGGTACAAGCTACAGGCTATGGACACTTTTAGTTTCAGTCTGCCAGGAGGTATTTGAATACAGGTATTCCTGCTTTTTTCTTAGCAAAATGAATTAGGCTGCATTTTTCAGATGGAATTCGTTATCCTAAATGACCTGCCCTGCTTACCCCATGGGCAGCAGTGACAGACACACTCAGTGGGGAGTTTGGTTCAGGCCCACAATTTTCTGTCAAAATTCATTTTCAAATGATGGAAAATTCATTTTGATAACATTTTTCTTTTCTTTTTTTTTTCTTTTTTTTTTTTTTCTTAGTAGGGTGCCCCTTACAGAATTTTTCTTAAAGAAAAGACATTTAAAAATATAATAAAATTTTTCTCTTTGTAAATTTGGCCATCAGTATTTTTGGAAGTTGTAGTTTGAACATCTTGTGCACTTCTTTTCCTCTATAGTTGGATTCCTTGTTTGGACTATATCTTTCCAGTTTACTGTCACTTAGATTTTCAACAGGTATTAGATTATCTCATTAAGAGAGAGAGTTGACTGTGAGACAACAGTGTAATCTGTCCAGGGTGTTTAGTCAATGTGGGAGAATCAGAAACTGAAACATGGGAGTCCCTGGAGGCACTGTGGAAGCCCATAAAAATGAAAAAATCCAGTTATCAGATGAAAGTCTTTCTTATCAAAGCCTAGATTCTATTTTCTCACACAAATAATTTCTGAGTAGAAAAATACCTAGTGTACAAGTTCCCACTCTTGAAGTGAATGGCTATGTTGTTGATGCTGGCACTGCAATATGGTTTCTGGTTATCTGGGTGGGGATTTTTTTTTATTTTCCAGGATTTTGTTGCCACTTGGAAAAGGCACAGTTCAATAAAAGGAATTATATACTTTCTTAAAAATTACTATTTTATGTGTTGCAGTACAGATAAGAAGAATCAAAGACAATGTAATCTATTGATTCTGTATAGATTTATTACAGAAAAAAACTCACAAAAAACAACTTAGTAGAATAAAAGGAAAATCTCAACATGTGTTTTGCATTCTTAACAGTGTATTTTGATAATTCTGTTGTTCTATAGAACTACTGCTGTATTTGCATAGTCAGTCCCAGTTCACATTCTTGTAAAAGGTGAATACTGAAGCCAGATGTGTTGTGAGATAAACTTTTTAATCTTTCAATGAAATAATGCTGACAAATTTCAGATATGATGCCAAACTAATGTCCTGCCAATTTCACTTTGGTCATTTAGTTCTAGCAACAGGAACCAGTTACTGAGTCAAATAAACTGCTCCTGTCTCTGCATTGTTGGGGGAAGACCGGCAGAGTGATGTGGAGATCAAAGCTGGAACTAGCAGAGTTTGTTCTGTGAGGCAGACATGGCATGCAGACATGGCTATATTGTCTAGTTCTCCAACATGTGGCCAGGACAAAAGTTGCAAATTTTAGCTATTCTAGGCTTAAGGGTAGCATTAGCAGACAAAGGCAGAGCAAGATGATCCAGCTACTCAGTTCTTTCAGGCAAATTCAGTTTGGGTTGGATTCCTTGGAGGGGGGGAAAAAAGAAAAAGAAAGCAAGCCATTTTCTGACTTCATAAGGTAGAGGTTTGGTCCTGAATACCTTGGCTATCTTCAGGAAACCTCCATGATTATGAAACATATTGCTCATAAAGCAGCAAAACAGGATTGCAAACAGTTCAAATGTTACTCTACGGAGTAGAGGGTTTATTTGTGCTCTACGGATGATCCGTATATGATGATCCTTAGCTGACCCATATAGATTGAATTGAAAGGAAATCTCTCTGTTAGAAAATCAGAGATAAAATCTGATGTGATCTGTGCTACCAAATGAAAACTCCAACTGCCATTCCAAATCCTACTTCTTCAATCCTATGTGTGTCAGCAGCAGGCCCCTCTATGCTCTCACAGCCCCAGGTAGAACCTCATGGTCTACAATACAGTTCCCAAATTCTACCTGCCCTAATCTGTTGTTGGGGTATGCCAGGTTGTCTTCTCTTTGCCTCTCTGAAACAGAGCGGTAGAAGCTGTGTTTTTTCCTTAGGCTTGTATGATGATCCTGCAATTGCCACTTGAGGACTTTCTGAAGGTCATCTCATTAAAAGGGCAAATTCTGGGAATTTTTTAAAGCCCTCTGTAAAATTTTCATTATTTTGCACTTTACTCTTTAGGAGCAAAACTAAGTGGCCACAACCACTCCCTTTTGCTTCTTTTTTTTTGCCAGCACAGCAGTCCAAAGCATATGCTTTCCACCAGTAGATCATAGCAAATCATTTAACCAATATAGTCTGTCATCCATCTCCACAATGAACTTTGAAGGTAATGAAGCCCTAACTAAAGGCCTTTCCATCCAGATGTTGTCGTAGAGATGCAGTGCGAACATATTCAAATGCTATTGTATTCATCAAGTGCTTTTTTCTATAATGACTGACACTTTAAAAGACCTTCAGAATTGTGGATTTATGTTTCTTGCATCCATTTCAGTATACCAAAAATTGTTAAAATAGTATATTACCCAAATTTTACCAACAAATCTCCTGAATTCTGAGTTAACAACACAGGAATCAGTAGGCCTTCGTGGAGGAACCATTTCAATACCATTTGGAAAAGAAGTCTGAAAAAATGCCAGATTAAAACATTTGATGTTGAAGATCTCTGGAGGCTACGGTTGGGAAGTTGGATACAACTAGAGACACATCTTACAACTCAGCAATGACTTTTCAAGACAATTGATATAGTAACAAATATTGGACATGACTAAGAGTTGATATTTTGTCATCATCATTGTCATTGCCATCATAGTCATCATGATTATTTAAAAGAAATCAGCATATAACCTGCAATAAGTTTTAAAACAAAGCACAGATTTGACACAGTGTGACATATGTAGACCAATTCTGAAGCTGAAATAATATAAAAGGCATGATTTCAATCACAAATGCAAACTTTATATATAATGTTGCTTTTTGTTTATCTAAAAGGATATATTCTTTGGTTCCAAGTATATTGTTGTGTGTTGAATTCCATGAAAGTGCCTTAAGATGAATTTTGGCACAAAACATTAAAAAAGTATTTCATGTTTGTACATTTTACTTGTGTATGTGTTAAATATTTTTTTTTTGCTTTAAGAGGGTACTCTGTTACTCCTTAGCTTATTCTTGAGTTCAGTTATTATCAATATCACCACCTTTGAAGAGATACTAGGAATAAATTATCTGCCAGCTATTACAGTGTAATGGAAATATTTGCCCATGTCTCTAAATGTGTTAATAGATGTCTGACCTCAAATGTTTTAGTGTAGAGTGGCTCCAGCTTTTGACTTCCTGATGGGAAAAATTGTACTTCATCATGGAGAATACAAGCCTTCTGGCAAGTAGAGTCATGATGTGAACTCACTGCTTATTGATACATTTAATACCAATTACAGTCTGTTGGGAATATGATTCATGTTCCTAATCCTTTCTTGATTAGGAATATGAGTCATGCAATCTCATGTTCTGAAGTGTGTTTAGATGTAACTATCTTCTCAAAAAATTAAGTGAGAAAAATCTCAGAAAAGAAATACTTATTTTTTCCTCAGCACCTGGGAGTGCTGAGTCTTGGAGTTTAATGCATTTGCTGTGAAAGATGGGGTTAAAACCACTACTGTAGCATTTAGGCTTGTTTTGTTTCCATTTACACAGAGAAATAATACTGGATTGTATGATCCTTTCGTGTACTGTGTTAAAGGAATGATATCATGGAAAGTCAAACACTTTAAGCTCTTGAATCACAGACTCACAGAATTGTTAAGGTTGGAAAAGACCTGCAAGATCATCAAGTCCAAACATTAACCCAGCGCCGTCATGTGCACCACTGAACTGTATCCCCAAGTGCCACATCCCCACGCCTTTTGAACACTTCCAGGGATGGTGATTCCACCACTTCTGTGGGCAGCCTCTTCCAATGCCTGACCACCCTTTCAGTGAAACAGCTTTTTCTTAATATCTAATCTGAACCTCCCCTGCTACAATTTAAAGCCATTTTGTGCAATCCCATTTCTTCCTACCTGGGAAAAGAGAGCAACCCTCACCTCACTCCTGCTTGAATGTCAGTATGCATGTGCATAATAAACTAGTTAATGCCATGGATCTGCCATAGGACTGCTCTGCAGCTGCTCCTGTGGATCATGGATGAGGCATGCCCAGCATATACACAGTCTTTAGGAAATTTCCCTCCCAAATGCTCCCTAAATAGGAGTAAGATGGCACTAAGAGTGCATATGCACTGAAGGTGCACTCTGTATGGCTAAAGCATATTGTGTTTATTTTGTGAACAGTGGTGACAACAGATGATCAGAACTGGACATGTGTATTATTAACAAGGCTATCTGCCCATGGAATTATGCACAGAAACAGGCAAAGTGATTAAGAAGTATCTCAGGTGGTGTCCATATTGAAGGCACTAGCACAGGCTAGTGCTATCCTTTACTTTCTGTGCTTTTTTTTTGTGTCATGAAATAGTGCACTAAATATCCGTCTGGGCATGAACACATTAAAAGTGAGTGTTGACATCATTGCGTAGCAGGTACTGGTGGCTGTGTGGACAAGTCTTACTGGGGTGCCACTGCCTATTTCAGGAGCCCAGAGGGCAGAGGTGCTCTATTGCTCAGCACTCCCCTCCCCTCCACCTCTTCCTTATTCCATGGGGATAAAAGGAGGAGACAACACATAGTTGCATCTCTGCAACTTAGAAACATCTAGATGTGTAGTTATCTTTATCTTTTGACTCCTTTCCTCAGATGTCACCTTAGTCTGATACTTCTGGTAGAAGCTCCTGAATGACTCTGCAAGAGAAGGGTGTTACCATATGATAGGGGTTTTGTTCTGATGAGAATGAGACGGTTAAGCTCATCTTAGTTGCAATTTAAGCAAGGACTGTATGCCACAAGGAGCTGAATTTTGTATTAATTACCTGGAGACATAAAAATTAGATTTTCAGTCACTGAAATGAAGGAACGAGACTGATAGAATAGCTGACTTATCTATTAATTTAGTAGCTTCAGGTTTTCCTTTATT